GGCAAATATGGGGCGACGCCCGTCTACGGCCGTGACGTCGGGCCCACGATGAGGTTTTTTTGTAATATACATTTCGTTTCGGATGTAGAATGCCATATTGTGATTAGATTGTTAGCTACACGAAGTATTTTTCAAATAAAACATCTATGTATACATGACTTGTTGTTTTCATTGCTTGTGCATGTGTTGTTTTAGCATTATAAAGTGAGCTTGGGCCGTTTTTACTTTTTCATCGGATATGTTTGTCTTTATTTTATTCTGTAATGAGTAGGTATTTAAATAATTTCACTTCCATTAATGGAGATTACGATATGTTAAGTTGTATTCACGGCGCTTTAACAACGAGGAAGAATTGTTCTATACGTCGTGTGTTACTTCTTTTTTATGGGAAAAGACGGTGAGCGGTTCAGCCCATGTTAAGTGATTCCACAAGGCCATGGACATCGACAAGATCGTTGCAGAGGCGTTCCTAACCTTTAAAAGTACGGATCCCCGCTACCCGCCCACCAGACGAAACGTAAAATTATATGTATAGGTACTTCTACTTCACCCTGGTATCTTATATGGAACGCTGCTACGCGGAAATCTCGCTTAACAGAAGAAATCTAGAAGTATACTCGGTACGGTACAATAGTATTTATCAAGACGATTCATCGTTCACAGATTTGGCATTCAAATAAAGAGATTTACTTCGTAAAAGAATGAAGAAAGAAAGAAAACTGCACAAATAAGTGGACTCGCGGTGCCCCAGAGCTGAATGCCATAAGTCCATATAGGCTTTAATATTGATTTATAAATAGTCATTTTACTAGCATCGGTCAGCTGTGACTTACGAACGATGAACCAGTACATGTCGCGAATTTTACAGACTAGTTGTTTCATTTTATGCCCGGTTCCTATATTCAAGGAACGGCCGTTAGTTACATAGCTTCGTAACTTTCATAACGACTTATAGATTAAAGGAACGCTAGTAACTCACTTTCCGTAAGTAATGCAACGGCTCGTAAGGAAAATGCGTCGTTTTGTTAATATAGGGACCGGGCGTACAATTCGTTATGAAAGTTACGAAGCTATGTTACTAACGGCCGTTCCTTGAATATAAGAACAAGAATATTGTATGTATGGATGGATGTTTGTTAGTCTTTCACGCAAATACTACTGAATGGATTTTAATGAAACTACAATAGTATAGCTTATACATCAGAATAATACAGACAGAACATCTGTCGTTCTGTCTGAATGTTACGCCTTCAGCCTACTCTACGCAGACGTAGTCGCGGGCAGCAACTAGTTAGTCCATATATGTTTAGGCCAAGTGAGTCGGCAGTCTAGACGGATACGTAAGTATTTTCTTTTTGTATTGTTAAGTTTCACAGATGGACATGTTTTTTTCTAAGTGTGAAAGTTACTTGGACCTACTTATCTATATTGGCCACTGCTGAAACCATGATTCTATGATAATCAGGATAGATAGGATTTGGGATGCGAAATCGGGATTCTCATGAATCGAAAGAAGTGCTGTATCATCTACGTATGACGCTGTAAGGGTATTGGGATAATTGGGTAGATCTGCTGAATTAAGTAGAGAACTGGTCCCAGTATGCTTCCTTGTGGAACTCCTGACTTTATGTCGTGCAATTGTGATGTGCAGGTCTTATAGTATATTTTATTTCGTTATATCTTATTTCGTAGTATCTCTTTTCAAGGTAGGATTTCACCAACAGAAAAAAGAGTGTTAGTATTTTTTTTTTATTTTAAAGAGTTGCTAATTGTGCCATTCTTTGTCAAATGCTTGGCTAAGCTAAATGTCTAAGAAGACTGAGCAGCAATATGGGCCCCGGTTACCTCAGTGTAAAGTATAATACTTTCTCTTCACGTCGCTCTTCTGTGAGGTCATGGCTTTTTCCGGACGAGCCTGCCCATTCTTACAACAGTAAAAGATGCTGCGAGTCTCTACGACCTTAAAAAATTATAAAAGAGTTGAGCTTATGCCGTGGAAGCGACTTGAGTTATGTACCCGATTGAATAATTCATTTTAACAAATTATTAAATACAGCTTGTAAATTCCAATATGTGTCAGTAGCATTTGACTAAAGCTTTAATGTGATTTTAAAGCGATACCTATTTACTAAAACATTTAGTTTATTATTGTCAAAATATAGGTATTTCAACCTATTTATCACTTTTGTAATGTTCTGATTTTAAAGAAAATAAATATCTTTAATACTCGTGCGTGAATATGCGTAATACTTACTTCTTTAATAATTAAGGAATTTTAGTTATTTTAATAAGCTCAAAATTCCAAATTGAAAATATGTTTATTAAGGTAATACTCATGTCATTTCAAAGGAATTTTAAATACGTAATGCGTTTTACACAGGCGTATTTTCTGTTGCGTCATTTTTCAATTTCATCAAAGCTGATATCTCATGTGGTTTTCCTTCGTGTTCATAGCTGTAGTGACTCCTGAAGGTAATTTTACAAGTTTATAAAGGTCTTTTGTACAGCACTTCAGTTTCAATTCGAGTGCTCTTTTTTTATAGCCGTATTATACTGCGGTCTGCGGCTCAGTTTCTGATCGGATATTACGCATGATCAATATCTGATATGAACACGTTATGAGTTGTACATATCAGATATTGATTATATGTACAACTCATAACGTGTTCATATCATATATTACAAATAATTGTGTATATCAGTTTTTATTCACTTTTTCGTACGAATCGACTTACTCATATCAACTATGTTGCTTAGATGTCCACTTCAAATTTATAGATAGTCAATTTACACATTAAAAGTGATTTGGTCACCTTACCGAAAAGGAGGAAGGTATTTACTGTCTTAATACTGTTATACTGACGATAAAAGTGGATGTTGCGTTCACTGACAGTCTGGATATGTTATTTTTCTTCCACTAAGTTGAAACTAGTAAGGACGGCATTACGTCATGGTCTACTATTACTGCGGGGCAGTGAAGCAGATGGCTTTAGTTGCCCCCGTGAAGTATTTAGGCATCTCTCATCTTTCAGAGAGCGCGTTCTGTGGGAAACGGTAGTGCACTGACGGTAGAACCGTGTTAATAGATAAGAAGTTCACGTAAACTATGGCCTCCCTCCTGAAGACCCTAAATATGTAAATCATTTTCCAGTAAATCGCATAAATAATTTGAAACTGATGGAAGATGGGACAGATTGAAAGGACTGTTTTATTATTTCTAAAATACGTTGTTTTTTAGGTTTTCGTACCCATAAGGGTAATAAGGGACCCTACTACTAAGACTTCGCTGTCTGTCTGTCACCAGGCTGTATCTCATGAACCGTGATAAGTAGATCGTGACAGATGATGTATTTCTGTTGCCGCTATAGCAACAAATACTAAAAAAACAGAATAGCAAAATATTTAAGTAGGGCTCCCATTCAACACACATGTTTTTTTGCCGTTTTTTATAGATAATGGTACGGAATCATTCGTGCGCGAGTCCGACTCGCTCTTGACTGGTTTTTTTTGAATAATTTCTCACTAGCTATTGCTTATTGGATTCTTTAATTATACTGTGTATGTATACTTTAATTGTACATAATATATAACGTCTATATTTTTTAAAAGATGATTCGTCCAGTTTTATAAAATTTTAAGTGCATTATTACTATATCGTATTAGTCAAAGTTCATAACAAATACGGCACACGTGTAAACTCGCAAGGCTGGGAAATTTGAAGAGCGATTGGATTGAAACATCATTGACGATGGGGGAAATCCTACGTGATCGAATAACGCTATAAATGGAATAAATATTATGTAAGCACTTATAAATCTATTTCTAAACAATAGCAACACGTGAGGTGTAATATGAAAGGTGATAACAATTATTTCAAGTGGACAATAATTTTGGTTTAATTTCCGAACGTCAATTCCTTGTAACAATGGTTAATCAGTAATTGTTCGTTTCAGGAAAAACTGAGGCTACAGTTTTAATGCCTTCATGAGATCCGTGTTGTTCTAACCTGACTGCGCGATGCAAAGGAGGTTAATGTTTTTATCGGCATATGTATGTGTTTATTCCTTTGTGGCGCTCTGAGAACATAAACATTTGTATTTTGATTCCAGGTTGTACTTTTTATAAATTTAATTCAACTAATATGAATTCGAAACGTATATAGCTTCAGCGAAGCTGCGTGTATTCAAAATCGAAGTCGAGAATATTATTTAAGCAATTTAACCAATGAGGTGACTAGACATATTTGAAAAAGTTAACTTTGAAATAATTTCAGTGTTCGATGGATTCGATTGTTTGCCATGCGATATTACATTATTAATGTACGAAAGCCAACAGTTAGAGATGAACTTTTTCACAGCAGCGGCAATACAAAAGCATTTTATCCTGATAAATGATTTGATTGGATGACATCTATTTTAGAGCTTCGTAGCTTGATAATAAATTATTAGTCTCTGAATACTATTGTGTTGGTTTTATTTATTTATTTCAATACTTTAAAATAAATAAGTAACACCAATAAAACAAAGTTTTAGCGAACAATTTGAAAACAGTTAAAGTTTAGTGAGTATTTTTAGAACATTGAATTAGGCTTAAGTAGTTTTTACATAATTGCGTTAAGAAATTTGTCTCATGCCAATTTTTATTCTTAAGGTCTTGTCAACATTTCTTCGGCTACATATATTATTATTCAAAACAATCATATCCAACTGAAGTATAGCTTAACTGAAATGTAATGTTTATGGTTACAGTTGGCAACCCTATTCTTAACCCACCATTTATTACATTGTGAAATGGTATTTTTCGAAAATAGTCTATAAACATAGTTTAATTTTGTAATAAGTCGTTTTTCCTTAATTCTATCTAAGACTTCGCCCACAGATTTTCCTTTGACATCGGGGCCAAACGTTCATTGACCCTGCATGACCTCATAGACGAACGGTTAACGTGGCATTATAGAAGTGACCATACCCCATTGGGATAAGATCGATTTCGTATTAATCATGAATTTGCTGGCGTATACAGTGGCTTCTCTGGTAAATTGATTAAATAGTGGCCGATAATCTAGTTGAATCGGAAATGTATCGAAATGCAGTTTGCTTTATAGAAATGAAAACGTTTTTCTTCTGACCTCAACGTTCTCCTGATGTCTTACATACGAAATCAACTAGTCAGGAGAGGAAGCGTGCATTATGTAACCGTTTTAATTCTCCTCTAAAGTTACTTTAAATTAAAAATTTTAGTCTCTCAACTACAAAAACCCTAAAGAAACTCTTATTTCATACCTCAATATATTGTTGTGCATTATCTTAGAACTTTTGCTTGATGGAGTCTCCAAAATCCATGAATAGATGTCGCTCTTAACGTAACCGTGCCAGACAGTTGAATATTGTTATGTGATATATTATATTTTATGTTTAATTATAAATATGTTGTCTCTAAGTCATTAAGTTCGACTTTTTGGTGCATACGAGCCACAAAGGCTAGAAAGCACTACTATTGATCGGACGTCTTGACACAAATATCGGGTATACCGTGCCAACTTTAATGCTTTCAAAAGAATACGCTTCCGAAGTAGTTCTGTTGTCTGTGGTAATTTTACTAGCTTAACTAGCTTGTTTTATGAGAAAGTTGCGTATGTTATAAAACTTGAAGTAAACAACCTTAACTAACCTAAGTTAAACTGTTATATTTTCCTTTTAAGTTTATTCTAAACTATATCGATTAAGTGTCATGAATGGTTATTTGACATTTCTCTTGTATTGAATAACTCATTCATCTCATCTTGTTAAAAAAAAAACCATAGATAGTCAAGTCCCACCCATGGAGTATTTTTGGGTTGCCAAATAACAATCTTGCTTTTCCTATGTCTATGGAAATATAAATTGAATTTTAATGTATTGTGTATTGAGTAATTGAAGTATGAATTTTAAGTATCTATGATATCTATATATTATTTTCACTTTCCTGAACTAGTACAAGTTCTTTATATATTTTTTTATTGTTGCTACCATAGGCTTAAAATTTGTTTCAATTTTGAAAATCTGGTAAAATTACCGTCGCTATTTGTAGATCGTATCGAATATACCACTATGTCTATTTGCATAGTGATTTAAAGAATGCTTTGAAGAAAAACTGCGGCCTACCGCAATTGCAATGTAGATGGACCGTTGCTTTGCAGTGGTGGGTTACGCAACCGCTGAATCCGGCCGGCCGGCGGGAGCGGCGGCCAATGGCGGCGTTCGCCCGGCGACACACCTCCGCGCTTCGAAATTGGAACGGTGCGCGCGCCGGCACTATCGAGCGCCAACGCGAACGTCACTGTCACTCAGTTGACAGTCGCGCGCCGCGGTGGGTGAACGTGCGTCGCATTCGTGAACAGTGCGCGGATCTATCGGCATGGCTTTGTTAAGGAGACTGGCTGTTAACGCGCCCCGTGGCGTCCGAGTCCTCTCCACGCCGCCTCCGGCCCGCGACGACCTCGACCTAAACTTCAACAGCCCCCGCGAGGCGTTCAAAAGCAAGAAGACCAGCGAGCTAGTGCGCGCCTACTTAGTCTACCAAATATGCTCTATCAACTGGATCGTCGAGAACAACGACATGGTAAGCGGATCGATGGCTTGTTTCTCTCTTACGTAAGCAACAGTGCGGATGCGTAACTATGCGTCTGTTGTTGGATGTCTCTAAAATTAACCGGCAGTCGTATCCTTGAATTTGATTCGACGCCGAGGTATGCGCCGTTTTTCGACCGTCGTCTACGAGTTCGCACGTGGTCCGGGCTTTCTGGTTCCATAAGCCGGCCGGACGTCTCATTCATCCGTTGTCTTTGCCGCTGCAAAAATGTTACGTAAACGAATATCGAACATAAGCCGCGAGCTGGAACGCCGGTGGCAGAAATCATTTGTATATCTACCTACTTTTAATGCTATTGTTCATTTAGACTCGAAAATAATTGCAGCTAATACCGGTCAATATAAATCTGGTTAATTTTTAATGAATAATGGATTCTTGATTCTCCATTAGCCAGTCGAACGCGCATGCGTCCGGCGAGCGGCGCCGCTCGTTATGGCTGAGTAAAAACTTGTAGGATATTTTACCATCCAAGAAATATGCTAGAATGATCTCGCGCTGCATAAAAAACGAGTCTTGGTTAGAAAAAAGATCGTGACGATACGTTAAATACAGGCTACTTAGTATCTATGACATTTCTTAAGATTCGTTTTTACGTAGATTACCTGTGCCTCTTCAATCGACTTCTCTTTAAATATTGCTGGCGATTAAAACGTTCTATATACGATCGATAAAACAAAAGCGATTCCGTACATCGTATCGGATTCGAAATTCAAAATTTTAAGCTTTTTTATTGTGTATTATAAAGAGTATGAACTATAATTCTTTTTTAAAGAAAATGGACACGTTTAGTTTGACGTGGTACTAACACTTTTTTGTATGAAATAACGAACGTTAAATGTTACGTTTACTCTTTTGTGGACTACGATGTAATAAGTATGTAATAATTCTTGTTACAATATAATAATTATTATATTTTGTTCAAACGACGTTACAGTGTTTTTCTTTTTCCTAAAAGGATGTTGACTTTTTTTAAAAATTCGTCTTGTACCGAACTTTTTCCAATGTAAAATTGGCTATTTTACGTAATTTGTTATAAAATTTAGATTAAAATAGTTGCTGCAATATTTGGCAAGATAAAAAAAATTAATTAATAAGAGTTACAAATCTCGTCTCTTAATGTAAAAAATGATAAAAAAGACAATTTTTTTGTGTAAAATTCTTTTTACTTTTGAAACATTAAAACCTATGAAGAGTTTTAATCTACCTTCTATATGTCCAAATGTTTCCTTGTTGTGTTATGATATATGACATATAATAACATTTATATGAAAATAATAATAAATATCCTGTCGAATTTCTTACCTTATTGCAGACATTTTTCGTTTGTATTAATTATTTATTCTAATTTTCATGCTACAAAATGTCGGAGATTTTCATCAATCGCAAGGACAATTTTCCAGATAACAAAAAAAAGGTTTTTGAATATAAATATAATAAAGCTGACAATATTCCATAAATTTTTTACATATTATGTTAATCACATAAATAAACTTCTTACACACGCCTTTATTTTACAAGGACTAAGAAAATAATTAGAAAATAGGAACAGCAGTTTACGGCGGTAGGGTCACGAATGGGCAGGTCCGTCCGGGTTAGTACCACGACGACCGGCGTAAAGTAGACGTGTTGCACTTCTGCGTTTCGTCTGGTGAGTGAGGTAGCCGGGGTCCACTGTATTTAAAGGTGGCAACGCATCTGAAACCCTACGGGTGTTGCATATATCCATGGGCAGGCGGTTACCACTTAACATCAGGTGAACCGCCAGCTCGTTTGCCACTTTCTCACATAAAAAAAGACTAATTTAGTATAATCCTTTCGTACTTAAGTATATATGTATGTCTTTTATTATTTTATATTTACTAGTTAACCTTATGATTCGGTCGCGCCGTTCAGCTATCGGCTTCGTCGTGGGGGGTCGTCAGTTCGATTCCCACACGTGACATAGTATTTGTGTTTCCCAAGGAGGGCTGACGTCAGGCAGAGGGCCGGTCGTAAAAGTTTAGCCAAAAGCGCTTACAACATGATTCAGATGTGCTATAAGGGCATGTGGTATAAGGGCAGTATGACCTTATACCACCCGGGTTAATTTACCAGTTGACCCGTGTGAGACTTACGTAGTCTCGATATCAGTTGTCATACATTATTAATAAAAAAAGTTATAAGCGAAACTTATTTTTTATGAAAACATTAAGTATATTATATTTTTAGCTTTATTTGTGATTGCGTCATTAATTTTGATGAGGAATAATGGAAAATACGGCGTCCCGACAAAAAACTCATTTGAGAAATAATACCTATCTCAACAATTTCTTTACGTATTTCTCACAGATTAAATTTAACAACGATTCATTATTTTCTTGAAAAACCTAGTTTTTTTTCTAGGATCTTACATCTCATTAATCAAGAACTTGGAACACGTTCAGTAGGGTGAATTTGCTACAATGACGGAAAATATTGTTCTCTTGAATGTTTTACTAATTATTTAGTAACGTTTTTCGGATAACGGGTAATTAAAGAATAGGTTAGAGTAGTTGTAATGTTCATGGACCCTGTAAAACCTGACAAAAAACTTGTTAGTTTTATAACTAAGCATACTGCAGGATAAAATATTCGTATGTTGCATCGCCGTCTTACAAACATAATTGAACAAATACAGACATGCAAACACACAGATCCGGAAAAATCTGAAAGGCATGCAAACACAAACACTTCTCAGTAATCATCAGAAATCGTATAGTAATCGACTAAATCAAACAAATGCGATAAAAGAAAGCTCCGACACAAAGTGATACGGGAGCGATATCTGAGAAAAATATAATAATTATTTGTTAAGAGATCAAGTTATGTAATACGCGTCGACTAGACGTAAGGCAGACGTGGTCGATATCGCAGCCGGCTCGTTTTATGAGCGTGACTCAGCATCCGCGACCTGTTTGAATATCTCGTTTAAATTCCATATTTAATCTGTTGTCTTTACCTCAAGACTCGTGACTGTGAACTTGAACCTTTGCCGATCTATTCCAGGGGTATTTTTGTATATTATTATGTAAAGACTCATAGTTTTGAAATATACTCTCGTTTTTTTTAAATTCAAAAATCGTTTTTTTTTAATTCATAAAGCGATGGCATTCTGGTCAGTTTTCACTAGAATTAATTAAAATAAATAACACTTTGAGTACTCGAGTGTTTTATTCAAGTTTTATTTGCAATGATCACATGACCTGCCTTCAAGCCTATCACGAGGTATATTAACCTGTCAATAAATACGACATAATCGGCCGCACCAACAGGTGCCAATTACCTTGATTAATTAGCAGTAAATTCCTATATTTGTGACTTACTGCCTTGAAGACATAAGCCTGACAAACGAACAACTTTAATGGTGACTAAGGGCTCAGATTTCTCCGAGGCCGTTTTCCGTTGCAAATATTTTGTAACTGAAACTAGTTCGTTCACGACCTGAAAGAGTCTACGTATCTTTTCGACTCTTATCTAACAACATTGTTGCCTACTATTTAGCCGACGCTAATAGATTGGTTAAACTGTCGTGTGGTGTTCACCAAAAGCAACTGGTTTCCGCCGACTGCCGTGTCACGAACTGGTTAGGTCATTATCACGTAGAGACGAGAACGGCGAAATCTTTGTTGCGTTAGAACTTGAAGAAAAAAAGTATGTGCGTGCTTATGTACGCATGTCAGAACAATTTGGCGTAAAGACATCAAATGCAATTGATAACGGTCTATCTGGATAACTTGGAATTATTGGTATATGTCAAAAAGTTATTCGTTGTCATATGGTAATGCAATAACTTTCTTTTAGCTCAATAATCCAGCTCGAGTAGATTAAAAAGATTGCATTGCCAGAATAATTTCTCGATTCAAATTTATATTTAATTATGATTTAGATTATAAACTAAGTCACACATGATTGTAACCTACTAGACCTTGAAATAAAGGTAGGTAAAATACGTTTCATTTGACGTATACATGTATATACATACATGTATATACATGCTAATATACTATATGATTTTTGAACTGAATTATTTATTTCTTCTCGTGAAAGTCGTGAAGATAAAGAGACTTGCTTCTTTAAGGAGTTCTTCTCTAAAATGTTCTAAACTGCTGCAGCGTCTAGTGTCGTGATTGTCTGACTTTTTAAAGAATTGATATATAATAATAATATAAGTAATACTAGCTGCTGCCCGCGACTACGCCTGCGTAGAGGGGTGAAAATTTAGTGTTGTATGTATTTTTGTATGCTGTGTCATAAAAAATAAAAACAAAAAATTTTGCCTAAAAAATAAAAAAACATTTAGGGGTGGACTACCCTTAACATTTAGGGCATGAAAAATAGATGTTGGCCGATTCTCCACCCTGGCCGACAATCACGCTAAGAATCAAAAAATCGGTCGAGCCGTTTCGGAGGAGTTCAAGTTCGAACCCCGTGACACAAGAATTTTATATATTAGATGTTCCTTTTTAGGGTTCGGTACCCATAGGGTAAAACGGGACCCTTTTACTAAGACTACGCTGTCGGCTATAAGACCTACTGTCTTGTCTGTATGTCTGTCTGTTTGTCATCAGGCTGTATCTCAAGGAAAACAGTTGCGGCTATACAAACAAATACTAAAAAACAGATAAAAAAAATTTAAAGTGCGGCAACCATAAAACAGATATGATTTTTTTTGGCGTTTTTATAGATAACGGTACAGGACCCTTCTTACTTGTTTCTCTTCTATCTAGGGTTAGCTGGTAGTGAATACAATATAGCACTAAGTTCGCCTCTGTACAATTTTTAGTGCAATAAAGATTAAATAAATAAATGAAATAAAAATTTCGTGTGCGAGTCCGACTCGCACTTAGCCGACTTTTATTACAGTGGCCTCATGAAATCACGATCTGACCAAACTGTCAAGCATTAGTGCCTAATTTCCTTAGAACCGTAAAGCGACAAATTAAATTGTCACT